CCCTTCATGACTCGTGGACTTCAACTCCCAGAATTCCTCAGTCAGCATGGGAGAACTATGGCCCCTTCATGACTCGTGGACTTCAACTCCCAGAATTCCTCAGTCAGCATGGGAGAACTATGGCCCCTTCATGACTCGTGGACCTCAACTCCCAGAATTCCTGAGCCAGCATGGGGGAACTATGGCTCCCTTCATGACTGGTGGACTTCAACTCCCAGAATTCCTGAGCCAGTGTGGGGGAACTATGGCCCCTTCATGACTGGTGGACTTCAACTCCCAGAATTCCTCAGTCAGCATGGGAGAACTATGGCCCCTTCATGACTCGTGGACCTCAACTCCCAGAATTCCTGAGCCAGCATGGGGGAACTATGGCTCCCTTCATGACTGGTGGACTTCAACTCCCAGAATTCCTGAGCCAGCATGGCTCAGCTTTGAAACCTCTCCCTTTCCCCTCAGCATGGCTGGCTCAGGAATTCTGGGACTTGAAGTCCACCAGTCATAAAAGAGCCAAGGTTGCCCACCCCTGTTCTAGTCAAACCCCCTGCATCAGGTTGGCAAGGCCTTGGGGGGGGACCCCAGCTCTTCCAGGCCACTCACCCTCATAGCGCAGGGCCACGCCGCCGGCCACGCCGCCACTGTCCGTGGAAAACTCAATGAAGAAACCACGGCTGGTACTGACCAGCCCCTCGATGGGCAGATACTCGACTTCGTACGAGTCGTACACCGGAGGCGCCTCGATGTTGTTGCCGTTGCGGATTATAAGCCTGCAACAAAGAGGAGCAGATCTCATTTCTGAGGGTCTCGAAGACTCCAGGATTTGGGGGAGCAGAGGGGTCCAAAACGGGGACCCCCCCAGTTGTGGGATTGCCCCTCGCTTGACGTGTGCTGCAGTGCGGTAAAAACAGGACAGAGTTTGATCAAAGGTACACCTCGCCTTACGACTGGAATTGAACCCCAACATTTCCGTTACTAAGAAAGACATTTAGGTGACTCCAACCCCCCAATTTTACGATCTTTCTTGCCCCCGTTACTAAGTGAATCACTGCAGTGGTTAAGTTCATCACACGGTCGTTAAGGGAAACTGGATCCTCCACTGACTTGGCTTGTCAGAAGGAGACAAAAGGGGGATGGCTTGAATCCGGGATGTTGCAACCGTCCTAAGTACATGCCAGTTGCCAAGCATCCAAATGTTAATCACGTGACCAGGGGGGGTGCTGCAACGGTCGTAAGTGTGTGTGAAAAGGTGGTAAGTTATTATTTTCTTAGTGCTTTTGTAACTTCCAACGATCACAAGCTTAAGTCAAACGTAAGTCAAGGGCTATCTGTGTACGGCAGTGGGTAAAATCTGGATTATTTTACCCACCCCTCTCTAGATGTCCCAATCAGGTGCTGGGAGGATCAGTCTGAGTAGGATGAAAGTTGTTTCTGGGGGGAGGGGTACAGCAGGGGGCAAAAGAGGAGCCCTGTGGGGGGGGGGTCTAGACCAGGCAACCCCCATGTTGTAGGCTGGCAATGCCATTCCTCTAGTCTAGAACAAGGTTTCTTGACCTTGGCAGATTTCAGATGGATGTTCAGTTCCCAGAATTCCCCAGCCAGCATGCTTTAAGAAGGGTGGACTTCCACTCCCAGAATCCCCCAGCCAGCCTGCTTTAAGAGGGGTGGGCTTCCACTCCCAGAATTCCCCAGCCAGCAGGCTTTAAGAGGGATGGACTTCCACTCCCAGAATTCTCCAGCCAGCCTGCTTTAAGATGGGTGGCCTTGAACTCCCAGAATCCCCCAGCCAGCCTGCTTTAAGAGGGGTGGGCTTCCACTCCCAGAATTCCTCAGCCAGCATGCTTTAAGATGGGTGGCCTTGAACTCCCAGAATCCCCCAGCCAGCATGCTTTAAGATGGGTGGACCTCCACTCCCAGAATCCCCCAGCCAGCATGCTTTAAGAAGGGTGGACCTCCACTCCCAGAATCCCCCAGCCAGCCTGCTTTAAGAGGGGTGGACTTCCACTCCTTTGCCTTCCCATCCTCTGAGGACCCACCTGTCGTCATCCTCTGCCAAGGAGACCTTCTCGAAATGCAGGTGCAGCCGCTGCCCAGGTGGTGCCTCCAACACCCAGTGACAGGTGAGGTTATTGCTGTAGTTGGCCGGGAAGCCTGGCGACACGACGCGCCCAGTGGTGGCGTTCTGGATCACCCCTCCACACGCCGCTGCAAGAAGAGCACAGAACGGGCAATGCGAGTTGGGGTCCACATGTGGTGTGGCGCCCCCTCTTCCCTGCTCTGCTGCCCCACCCCTGGCTGACTCACCGATGCAGGTGGGCTCCTGGCGGCTCCAGAAGGGATGGGTGGCATTGAGGCATGCCAGGCAGGGCTTCCCCACCAACTGGTACCCCACAACGCAGGAGAAGCACGCTTGGCCTCCTGGGTGAGTGCTGCTGACAGAGACATCGCCGTACGCCGGCCGCGCAGGGAAGGCACAGCTCAGTAAGTACGCTGGACACAGAAGAGAGATACAGACAGTGGCTTACTGCAGGGGTCCCCGACCCCTGGGTCGAGGACCAGCACCGGTCCACAGCATGTCAGAAACCGGGCCACACAAACAAGCAAAGCCCCATACTTGAGATGCAGGCAACACATAAAACCACGTCCCCTCCGGTCCTCTCTCCACGGAACTGGTCCCTGGTGCCCAAAAGGTTGGGGGCCGCTGGCTCAGGATTAGTGTCGTTTCCCTTTAGTGTCAGTTCTCTTAGTGCAGTGGTGGCGAACCTATGACAGGGGTGCCAGAGGTGGCACTTGGAGTTCTCTATGTGGGCACACGTGCCGTTGCCCCAGCCTCGCCTCTCCCCACAACACCCTCCTCTCCAACAGTCCCCCTGAAGGAGAGTCGGGGTGACCCATTGGGTGGGCATGCCAATGGCAGACTGGGTGGGACTAAAAAATTCAATCAATCAATTCCAACTTTATTTCCCGCGAGGTTGAAATTGATTGATTGAACCTCTTTTTTTTTTGCATACGGTGGCAGAGGCCTAAAGCGAAAAGATTTTATAAAACCCAGCTGAAGGCCTAGGACTGGGGCGATGGTGCACACGCCCACAGAGAGGGCTCTGAGTGCCGCCTCTGGCATCCGTGCCATAGGTTCACCACCATGGCCCTAGACCAGTGGTGGCGAACCTATGGCACGGGTGCCAGAGGCGGCATTCGGAGCCCTCTTTGTGGGCACACATGCCGTTGCCCCAGCCTTGCCTCCCCCTGTGACCCCTTCCTCTCCAGCAGCCCCCCTGAAGGAGAGTCACCCCCGAGCGTGGCTCACACGGAGCATTGCAGCCAAGGACATGGCAGCCAGGCAGCGTAGACAAGACTCTGCCCTCACACCCCATCATGCAGTTGATGCTGCAGGGCGCGGACAGAGGGTGTGGCCGTCATAGCGCTGCTGGGCTGCCTGGGTGATCTGCGGCGGGCCCTGGAGGCGGTGGTGGCCCTGCGGGCAGGCGGGGCGGGAGATGGGGAGTGGAGTGGGGGCAGGGCAGGGGCTGGAGCGGGGGCGAGGCCAGTTTTGGGGCACTCGGTCTCTAAAAGGTTCGCCATCAATGCCTTAGTGTCAGTTCTCTTTAGTGTCAGTTCCCTTTAGTGTCAGTTCCCTTTGGAACGCTGCCATAAGAAAGGGGAGGGAGCACGCCGGGGCATGGATTGAGGATGTTTATGTATTGCTAGCCTTCGTTTCTACTTTCGCTTTGATCTATGGACATGGGAATTTGGGAGGACAGGATACCTGCGGGGCCCTCTGTTTTCACTCCTGCCAGCTGACGAGAGCCAGGCGCGCGCCGGTTATCACCTTTCCAGCTCGAAGTTCTCGTAACACCTTCACGCCAGCGGATTGGCTCCTGATGGACTGGGGGCACAGGGGTGGGGCTGAAAAACGGGACTTTTAGCTTCAGGCTTTTGCGCGGGAACTTCAGATTCCGCCTTTTTATTCTGCCATCACTTTCTCTCAGTAAAACATCCTCTTTGAAACAAGGCCTGTTTCCTGAGTTGTGCTTTCCTGAGGGGGCAGGCCTTACGTTCAGTCCTGAGTGCTAAAGTCTAAAGCAACTCCCCTGCCCATCGTCCTGGGCAATTGTGCTCTTCCCTATCCCTTGTTCTCTGCCACACCAGAGGCAGGCATCTATTTCCGGACTGTCTCACCCACCCAAGTTGCAGAGGCCAAGGCTTGAACCCAGGGCCTCCTGCCTGTAAATGCGATACAGCTAGTCCTTGAGTTACGACCAGAATCCAGCCCAACGTGTCCACTGCTCAGCAAGAGAGTCGTTCAGTGAGTTTCGCCCCGTTTTACGTCCGTTCTTACCACAGCGGTGGTAAATGAATCACTGCGGTTGTTAAGCCGGTAACACGGTTGTTGTTAAGTGAATTTGGCTTCCCTGTTGCCTGCCAGAAGGTCGCAAAAGGGGGACCACGTGACCCCAGGGCACGGCGACCGTCGTAAATGCAAGCCAGTTTGCCCAAACTTCCAAATTTGGTTCACGCGACACGGGGAGGCTGGAACGATCGTGTGAAAAGTGATTCCAAGTGACTTTTTCCTGGGCCACTGTAACTTTGGATGGTCACTAAGTCGAGGACTACCTGTAACTCCACAAGGAGGCTTTCCTTTTGCAGTTGCTGCCTGTCGAGAGATTTATCTGCTGCCTGCCGTCACGGACTTATAATCCCAGGTGGTACAATTTTTGCCCATTCTCCCGGTGCCATTTGCGGGGGCTGGTTGCCTTAACAACCACGGCAGCCCCTCTGATTCTGCCTTTCCATTGGCTCGGCTTGCCGGTGATGGCGGGAGACTCTTTTTCAGAAAAAAATATCCCCCCAAAGAAGCTGGTGGTGTCAGTTCATTTAGTGACCTTCGAAGTTACAACAGCAGTGAAAAAAGGCACTTGTGACTGTTTTTCACACTTATCACCGTTGCACATCACCGCGGTCACGTGATCAAAATTCAGATGCTTGGCAACTGGCTCGTATTTATGATGGTCGCAGTATGGACACTTGGCAGCTGGCTCGTATTTATGACGGTCGCAGTACAGACGCTTGGCAGCCGGCTCGTATTTATGACGGTCGCTGTACAGACACTTGGCAGCTGGCTCGTATTTATGACGGTCGCAGTACAGATGCTTGGCAGCTGGCTCGTATTTGTGACGGTCGCAGTACAGACGCTTGGCAGCTGGCTCGTATTTGTGACGGTCGCAATACAGACGCTTGGCAGCTGGCTCATATTTATGACGGTCGCAGTACAGACACTTGGCAGCTGACTCGTATTTATGACAGTCATAGTACAGACGTTTGGCAGCTGACTCGTATTTATGACGGTTGTAGTACAGACATTTGGCAGCTGATTCATATTTATGACGGTCACAGTACAGATGTTTATCAGCTGGCTCGTATTTATGATGGTCGCAGTACCCCGGGCTCACATGATCCCCTTTTGCGACCTGACGAGCAAAGTCAAGGGGGGAATCCAGATCCACTTAATGACCGTGCTACTACCTTAACCTCTGCGGCGATTCACTTTACAACTGTGGCAAGAAAGATTGTCAAACAGGGCAAAACCGAGCCGTGCAAGCAGTGGGCAAGGTCACACGGTGCGCGTATGCAGCTAAACCTATGCGCCATTCCATTTGTATGAACAGCGCGTGTTACGCCTGCTTCTTGTGCAAATGGAGCTGTGCGTGCGCGTGTGCCTGCCACTGGCATGGAACCATCCTTTCTCCCCCACTCCACCGGGCTGCCAAGCTGGAAAGGTTGGTGACTGCTGATCTACCCTGCTGGCTGGGGAGGATGGGGTTTCTAATGCATCCTATCTGGTAACACACCAGGATGGGGATCCTGGCCTTGCCGAACACGCTTGTCCAACACGAGGATTAGGATTGTGTGAACCCGACCACTCTCTTTGCAAACAGGGCGAACCAGGAAGTCTCTGTTCCTGGGATGATGGGATGGAAGTGAAGCTCCGGCAACGTTGTGTGCAGGCAGGTACGGTGACAGCTGTCCTCCCCGCTTCCCGCTTCCCGCCCCCGCTCTGTGCAAATTGTGTTAATTGTTGGGGCCAATTACCTCCTCATTAGACGTTGCTTCTTCGGAGGTGCCCACTTTAACCTGGCAGTGTCAGCGATTAGCTCCTGCAGCGATTAGCAAGCCTCCAATTAGCTAATTGCTCTACAGCTGCAAGAGAAAATCCTGGCATTGTGGCACCCCTGTAGCTGCTGTTGTGGGGAGGGGGTGTGTGTGCACATGGCAACGGAGCCTTTGGGGCCCTGCCGGTGCATTGAAGCATGTGCCTGGCTGCCCTTCCCTGACCACACAGGTGGCCCTTGACCTACGTCCACAACGGAGTCCAAACTTTCTGTTGCTGAGCCAGGCAATTGTGAGGTGGATTTTGCCCCGTTTTACGACTTTCCTCGCCACACAGCTGCTAAGGGAATCACTGCCCTTGTTGAGCCAGTAACATGGTTGTTAAGTGAATCTGACTTGCTCACTGACTTTGCTTGTCAGACGGTCCCAAAAGGGGAAGCCATGACCCTGGAACACTGCAATCGTCGTAAGTATGAGTCAGGTGCCACGCATCTGAATTCTGAACACGTCACCGTGGGGATGCTGCAATGGTGGTAAGTGTGAAATGCGGTCGTAGGTCACTTTTTCAGCGCCGTAACTTCAAATGGTCACTAAATGAATAGCTGTGTGTTGAGGACTCCCTGTATTCAACAGACCAGGCCGAAGGAGCTGAGGGCCTGAGGGGAACCACGTGAAGAAGGCTCTGCATGGACTAAGGGTGGGGTGTCAGCAAAAGCTACAGCGTGCTTATGTGGACTACCTCACAAGGCTAACAGATCCTCTTCTTTTGTGCAGGGTGGCTGTACAGCCCTTCTCACAACAGGAACTACAGGTCCTAAATCAGCTTCAACAAGAGTAACTGTGAGAGGGACCTTGGAGTCCTAGTGGATGATCACTTCGCCATGAGCCAGGAGTGCGCGGCAGCAGGCAAACAAGCTAATACAATCCTTGGTTGTATAAACAGAGGCAGGATTACAGAATAACAGAGTTGGAAGGGACCTTGGAGGTCTTCTAGTCCAACCCCTTGCTCAGGCAGGAAACCCTAGAACCAGTGATGGCGAATCTTTTAGAGACCAAGTGCCCAAAATACAACTCAAAACCCACTTATGTATCGTCGGGTGCCGGGTGGGCGTGGCCCATTGGATGGGCATGGCCCATTGGGTGGGTGTGGCCCATTGAGTGGGCGTGGCAATGGCAGACTGGGTGGGACTAAAAAGTTCAATCAATCAATTCCAACTTTATCTCTCCTTGATTAGTTTCCACCCGTTGTTTCTTGTCCTGCCTTCAGGCGCTTTGGAGAATAGCTTGACTCCCTCTTCTTTGGGGCAGCCCCTGAGATACTGGAAGACTGCTATCATGTCCCTCCTCGTCCTTCTCTTTGTTAAACTAGACATACCCAATTCCTGAAACCATTCTTCGTATGTTTAAGCCTCCAGTCCCCTGATCATCTTTGTTGCTCTTCTCTGTACTCTTTCTAGAGTCTCAACATCTTTTTTTACATCGTGGCGACCAAAACTGGACTCAGTATTCCAAGTGCGGCCTTACCAAGACGTTGTAAAGTGATATTAACGCTTCCCATGTTCTTGATTCTATCCCTCTGTTAATGCAGCCTAGGACTGCATAGAATCAAAATCATGTGAAGTGTTAATACCACTTTACAAGGCCTTGGTAAGGCCACACTTGGAATACTGAGTCCAATTTTGCTCGCCACCATGTAAAAAAGATGTTGAGACTCTGGAAAAAAAATGCAAAGAAGAGCCACTAAGATGATCAAAGGCCTGGAGACAAAAACCTATGAAGAACGGTGGCAGGAATTGGGTACAGCCAGTCTAAAGAAAGACGGAGGGCCATAGAAGAAGGGGACGACAGAGAAGGAGGTGGCTGGATGGAGTCACTGAAGCAGGAGGCTTGAGCTTCAATGGACTCCAGAAGATGGTAGAGGACAGGAAGGCCTGGAGGAACATTGTCCATGGGGTCGTGATGGGTCGGACACGACTTCGCAACTAACAACAACGTCTAAAGAAAAGAACGGACAGGGGTGACATGACAGCAGTATTGTTCTATCCCAGCCTATGGCTGTCCTTGTTAAAGGCACAAGGACAAAACCCCTTTTGAGAAAATAGGCTGGAGACTCAAAAAACAAACAAACCCCTTTTAATATGGGTAACCAACCTGCCAAATAGTCCAGAAACAAAAACACAATCCAAATGGAGGAAATTGTCCACACGAAACCATACAAAGCAGAGAAGTAGTCACCGGCAAGACTAACAGAACATGATCCCATGAAGTACTTTGCAACGGTTGCCTTCAGCAACCAGCACCGCCCACACCTTCCCTTTTTATACAGCAGTCCCAAGGCGTTGCCCCTCAGTGCCTTCTCCTCCTCCCCTGGAGTTGTCGTATTGACTGCTGCTGATCTGCTCTCGCTAATTGCCTGCGTCTACGAGCATCAATTATCATGTCCATCAGGTGTGAATCCTCCAAGTCTAACTCATTCTCCCCACACAGCTGAGCTTCATCAGGAACACGACTAGAGGGGCCAGGCTCTTCAGCAAACCGTGAGTCTTGTAATTCATCAGAGCCTCCCTCTGACCCTGATGGCCCTTCAAATGCCTCCTCCACCTCCTCCTCAGATTCCCCAGACTCAGCTGTTGGGAACACAGGCTGGCACAGAATCACGACAAGTATTCCAGCATTTGAGGGGCTGCCGCAAAGAAGGGGGGGTCAAACTATTCTCCAAAGCCCCTGAAGGCAGGACAAAAAACAATGGCTGGAAACTGATCAAGGAGAGAAGCAACCTGGAATTAAGGAGAAACTTCCCAACAGTGAGGACAATGAACCAGTGGAACACCTTGTCTCCAGACGTTGTGGCTGCTCCATCACTGGAGATTTTTAAGAAGAGATTGGCAGCCACCTGTCTGGGATGGTATAAGGTCTCCTCCTTGAAGCAGAGGGCTGGACTGGAAGACCTCCAAGGTCCCTTCCAGCTCTGTTCTGATTGAAGGTCAACCCCTCGTTAGTTCTGTCCAAAAGTCCTCCATCTCCCCAGCGTCCTTCAACGTCATCCCTGCGGGAGACTTACCTTCAAAGTGGAAGTGGAAGGTCCCTGGATTGGCAGGGGAGGGGCTCTGGAACCGGACCAGCACCTGATTGGTGGGGCCACGGACCACCTGACCACGCATCAGGAAGGACTCATTGGCCAGGGGAAGGGGCTCCAGGCCGCCCAGGGTCTCCACGGTGATTGTCTCGCCTTCCGCAAGGCTGATGTTCTGCACCTGCAAAGGGGGGGGGGGGAAAGAGAGAAGCCTCATGGGGCACCCACTCCGACTTGGGGACTGGCAAAGGGGGGCAGGCAGGGGGACAGGGCAGGTCCCGTCAGGAACACCGATCCCCTACTTCTGTCCTTGAAAGAATTCTGTACAGTTAGTCCTCAACTTAACGACCAATCCAGATCTAGAAAGAGTGTAGAGGAGAGCAACAAAGAGGTAAAAATAGTAAGGCAGCCTTTGTAGTAGGGCTGTATTGCTATTATCCTTCTCATCTGTCCCACCACCTTCTCTTATGAGTATCATTATTATGATTATTATTACTTTGCTGTTTTACATGTACACTGAGAGCTTTTGCACCAAAGAGAAATTCCTTGTGTGTCTAATCACACTTGGCCAAATAAAGTATTCTATTCTATTCTATTCTATTCTATTCTATTCTATTCTATTCTATTCTATTCCTTATTCTATTCTATTCCTTATTCTATTCTATTCTATATTCTATTCCTTATTCTATTCTATTCTATTCCTTATTCCTTATTCCTTATTCTATTCTATTCTATATTCTATTCTATTCTATTCTATTCTATTCTATTCTATTCTATTCTATTCTATATTCTATTCCTTATTCTATTCTATTCTATTCTATATTATTCTATTCTATTCTATTCCTTATTCTCTATTCTATTCTATTCTATTCTATTCTATTCTATTCTATTCTATTCTATTCTATTCTATTCTATTCAATTCTATTCCTTATTCTATTCTATTCTATTCTATTCTATTCTATTCCTTATTCCTTATTCTATTCTATTCTATATTCTATTCTATTCTATTCTATTCTATTCTATTCTATTCTATTCTATTCTATTCTATTCTATTCTATTCTACATTCTCTTCCCTTCCTTTCCCTTCCCTTCCAGACATTCCAACTGGGAATGTCTAAGGAAGAGAAGGACGCGGGGGTAACATGATAGCAGTATTCCAGTATCTGAGGGGCTGCCCCAAAGAAGAGGGAGTCAAGCTATTCTCCAAAGCGACAAGAAGCAACGGATGGAAACTCATCAAGGAGAGAAGCAACCTGGAACTAAGGAGGAATTTCCTGACAGTGGGGATAATTAACCAGTGGAACAGCTGGCCCCCAGAAGTTGTGGGTGCTCCAACACTGGAGGTTTTTATTAAGAGACGGGACAGCCAGTTGTCTGAAATGGTATAGGTTTTCCTGCTTGAGCAGGGGGCTGGACTAGAAAGCCTCTATTGGTCCCTTCCAATAGAATAGAATAGAATAGAATAGAATAGAA